TAGAGACACATATATATATATATATATATATATATATATATATATATAGACCTCAAACTAAGTCACCCATAGACCTTAGTGAGTTGAGAAGCTTTGTCCTTGCACAACTGAACAACCTCAAAATCTTTCACCACAACTCAGAGGGGAAAATATCTTGCAAAAATGAGAAAGAGTAGACAGTTTATTCCGGCCTTCAAGACAAGTCCTGAAAAGCGCCATTAAAGCGATAAGTTAGAAGAAGAGAAGCAATTTTGTCAACAAACGATCTGATAAATTCGGAGCCAAATTCCACCAAATGTCTCAATTGTAATGAGAAGCGGGGTTTTAATACAATTGTCCCTCGAACTTGTTGTGATTTAATAAATTATCCCTAAATTTTTAATTTTAACAATGAACTCCCTGAACTTATAAAAATGTTGCATTATGTCTCATTTTACTAAATTTGCTCAATTTTTTTTTTTTTAGATTTAAAGGATTAAAAGATGTGAAATTAAAATATTTATGTCACATTTAAATTAAGATGTTGAAATACTTCGTCGAACTTACTTTTTCGACAATAATTTAACACATTTATTGTTAAAATGGGGTATATTGCAACAAGTTTATAAGTTGAGAGTACAACTTATCAAAATTAAAAGTTTAAGGACAAATTGCTAAACCATGCAAGTTTAGGAGAACAAATGTGTAAAATACCTATGAAGAGCATAGGCAACAAGACATTCGGCAACTTTATTATCCTACCCAAGAAAAAAAGTGAGAAAATCTAACATTATTCAAGTATCATTTCATTTTGATTTCAATTTCCATGGAACAACAAGATTCTTCATTAATATAATATTTTGTCCTTTAAAAAGAAAATATTTTGTACCAGTATAAATTACTTCAGTAATTGATTATTGACATCACCATCTGTGTTAATTTTAATCTATCCGGGCAAAGAAAGAAACCAAGTGACAGTTGTAAAAATAAGACAACTCACCCTGAACTTGCAGATTCGTAAGAATGTATCAAAGAAATTGGTGTGTTTCGTAGGGGACTAGACTTGTACACATAGCACCATGGAGAGTCAACCTTTTGTTCTCAAAAGCCAAAGACAGATATCTTGAGTTAAAAAAAAAATAAAAAATAAAAAAAAAAATCCAACAAATGGTGATGAACTTTATCCTCAATCCCATTTTGATCTTAGACATTTGAAAATCTCAAAACTCATCCCTATTCTGTCAATTTATTTTCTTTTTAATCTTTTTGATCAGCCAGGTGTAAAAAAGAGAATAGAACAAGCACGTAATATTAAAATAAAAATATATTTTTATTGATAGAACACAGAATACGCTGTTCTGATATAAAAATGTAAGATAACACTCTGCTAACTTAATGTTATCCATATTTTATTTAAAAAAAAAAAAAAACAACTGATGAAAAAGTAACATTGAAGCAAATTGATAGATAAAGAATTAAGTTTAAAACGTTTTAAAAGTAATGGACTAAAATGGGATCCAACAACAAAATTTATGGGTTTAATTAAAAAAAAAAAAGAAGAAAAGAAAAGAACGAAAGATATTTCCTGGCACTTTGGAAACTGGATTGAACTTTGCAAGGAAAATTCTGGCACAAATGTAATACAATAATTCACTTGGATAAAGCGTATCGTTCTTAGTATACCGTACATAAAACGTTATTCTCCACTACAAGCAGTAACATATAAATTGGACGTCTGACGGACTCCACAGTACTTTGAAGTCGTATTGCAAATTACAGAAGACAAATCATTGGTATATGTATCTACACATCGAAGAAATAGCAGTAATATAAAACCACGCAAACTATAAGCAACAAGGAAAAATTTTACATGGCTGCAAGATGGGGAGGAAAAAAGTACAAGCAAATTACATATGACCTACTTTCTGGAAACAAACTCCAAACTTATGATCGATTTTTGTGAGATTTCCAAACTGGGGTTGACACATAAGATTGCGATCCACGCCCCGGAGAACAAATCCCAGAATCTCAAGTAGTAATGTTTTTCGATGTGTGTTTCACCCCTTGAAACGAACTACAATGACGGATATGTCATCTTTGCTATCTTTTTTTAGTGCCCCGCTTGCTAACTGCTTCGCCGCCCTGTGAGGATCTTTGGTCCTTCTCGCCATATCGACTGCCTCTTGGTTAGACATGACCTGAATTGGCCACAAATATGGCAGGGAAGAAAGAATCACAAGACGAGCAATATATAGACTGTTCGGAGATTATATCAACTCTATTGTGAACCGAGAAGGAAAAGTAAATATGCGACAGAAGTTGTGGGAGGAGAAGAGTTACAACCTTCCATAAACCGTCACTCGCAAGGATGAGAAGATCAGTATCCGAGTCAATATCAGCATTTCTAACGTCAGGATCAGATCGCAAGTGCGACTTGAGGTTTTTGTCTCCAAATGCTCGAGAAACCGCCAGCTGACCGTTGACCCGGGCAACATCTCCTAATGCAATATGCAAAACATGTAAGCTAACAGAGCAGACAATAGGCTGAAAAGAGACACGCTCATATTACAGATTTTTCATAATGCATATGAATAGTCTTAAGATGCAAATATTGTCCACAAACTAAAGTGACATTTGTTCAAAACTAGAACCATGAAAACTAAAGTGACCTTTGTTCAAAACCAGAACCATGAAAAAGGACCTTATAAGCTTAGATAGATATAGGGAATACAAGTATACTGATACTGGGAAGAGAAGATAAAGCTGATCTTAGTAATTAAGAGTGATAATTCCCCTAATAGAGGAGAATTGTATCTGTAGAATTTTATATAGGATAAAGGTAATGGGAATGTGCAAATAGCTATTTTTGGTGTTCTTTTCCTATATTTAAAAATTCAGTGGTTTCTGGAGACAAAGGCTCCTCGAGACCAATAGGGATACCTATGTTCCAGAGAAGGAACTTGAGAATCAAGATTAGAGAAAAAAAAGTGTAACGGTTTCTTCACCTACTCAATAAGCATCCCATCAAGTATACAAAGTCATCTATTGCGGTCCAACCAATTGAAGGTTCCTTGAATTTCAGTGACAAATGATAGCAAATATTATATCAGGAAAAGAATTTTTATCAATATTTTCCGAATTTGGAAAATCGGCATTCCCTTCCCCCAAGCTTCGAAACATTAGCAATATTTCCCTTTTCGTTAGTTAAATGGATGGAAAAGCTAATGTGGCATTAGATTTGGAAAATTAAAATTCAAAAAAAAAAAAAAACGCTCCAATTACTGAAAAAACTCTCCAATTCCTTAAACGGACTATAAAGGTTAAGTAAGTTTCAAAGGACATATAGTTGGTCAGAGAATTGTATCTTTCCCAATCCTGTTAGCAGTTTATGTGCCACATCAATAATAATAAAAATAATGAGTTTCTAGTTTCAGGAAAAGAAAACATAAAACAAAATAAAAAATAAGTGTCTATTTAAAAAATTGCATTGAACAAGTATGATTATGGTCAATGGAAGGACAACATCGTCGTCTTCAAAAAATAGAAAGAAGAAAATGATATGCAAAGCATTAAAAGACAAAAGGGGGACAACATATAGTTTGTGGCTCATAGTAAGGAGTTATCCTTTCTACTTGACTCTTACACCATCATTTAAGTGACATATTAAAAAAGAAATGGGTCTTAAATATTTAGCAAGATAAAGTTCCAGAATGGTTGGATTTTACAACTTTGGCCCATTCGGTTATAGGTTTGAACAGAGAGTTTGGATAGAAATTTAAGTTTTTGTGTAAAAGAGCAGCACTATAGCAAAAAGGTTATAATTATGGTTGAACCTTTGAAACAAACAGGGCTCTCCATGGGTCCAATGCACACTAGATGAAATATTGATCGCAAAACTAAATAGAAAACAGGCATATTTGCATTTCATGGCCATGGTAAGCACATATACCGATTAGAAGAGCAAATGTACTTTAGAATATGGGATAAAATCATTCTGGTACCCTCTGTTCTAGAAAAAAATCTCGTTGGTACCATATGTTTTTAATAATATTAAAACATAACCTTCACCTTTAAAAAAATGTTCTTTTGGTATCCTAAGACGCATTTTTAGGACAAAATGTCCATTCTATCCTTCTCACTAACTAATAATAAACTAATAATTTCTTAAAAAAATGCTGAAAATACTTTAAAATTTTAAAAATTAAACAGTCAAAATAAATTAAAATGTTTTCAGAAAATGTTTTTAAAGTTATTAGTTTCTATTTAATTAATGAAACGGGCAGTTTGGATATTGTATACCCCAAAAATTGGTCTCATGGTATCAAAAAAATGTTTCTTTAAAGGTGAATGTACCGTTTCAATATTATTAAAAACACAAGATGCTAGCGAGATGTTTCGCCATAACAGAGGGTCCCTTGGAATATTTATGCATGATGCAGAGAGTGGATTCATTGCATGTCTATGACATACTTAGAATAGCATTCGTCTTTTTGGCTCCGGTTTAGAATATCAATTTATCTATTTCAACCTTCACTGATGCAAATTATTCCATCTAGAGTACATACTTAAACCCCTTTTAGTCACCAACTTTATAACATTATCGAAGCACGCAGTAGTAGATGATGTCGTTATCCATTATAACTGCTGTATGGAATCAACTACTTATTTTTGCATGAAGAAAATCCTGTGGTTTGAGATTTTGAAATGCTATATTGTACTAGAATATTTAAAATTGAATTACACAACTATCCCATTAGGTTTCCCAAGATTGCACTTAAAAACCAATAAAATAAATAGATGGCACTCTCTGACACTACCTACAAGGATATAACGCAGCCAACATCCATTCCCAAAGTAAATAACCAATTCCGATCCACAGAATTATCAGATCTAAAATGCCAGGAATTATTGAAAACCAAAAAGGGCAAAAAAAAAAAAAAAAAGTAAGTGGACGCTCATGGATGCCAGTTCAATCAAGACTGGACTTGAGAATTGAGAAAGTGGGTGAAAGAGAGAAAAAGTAAAAACCTGGCATGTTTGAGACAAAGCCGCCTCGGTTCTCAATGCTGCCACGCTCAGTGTTGGGTTCATGATCAGTACTCATCTGTATTGCCTGCCCCCTCCTTGAGAGAACTGCTCGTGAGTCTCCAACATTGGCAATCCATAACTTCCGGCCATTTATCAGAATGGCAGTAACTGCTGTGGATCCTCCTCGCCCCAGGTCGGGGCTGTGAGAAAGAATTGCCTGGTCCGTTCTCTCATAAGCTTTACAAATAGACCTGCTGGGATCGGTCCAGAACTCTTCCTGCAATTGATTAGAAAAAGGTATATTATAATGGGGACATTTGGATGCCAGAACAATATATATGCCCATTCCCATGTAGTATTTTAAATATGATTTCATTCTATTAAATATACAACTTTTAATTTGAAATAAGATCACTACTTACACATACAAAGTCAGAGAAAAACTGTGTCACGATGAGATATCTTTTATGATATGATAAAACAGCTGTTGCAATAACTATTACCAAATAAGAGATTCACCAAAAGTATCAACCACTAATTTCCCAAATGCCCCTCAACATAATGAGTGATGACTCAAACGAGTAAAAAATCAGCTATTTCGGTAACTCACATCCTTCAAGATATTAGAAAATAGGTTCTTTTGTAAATAGGCAGGTACACTGTCTCCCAAATGCCCATCATATATGGCAAAAAGTCCAAGCTCATGTCCTTGCATCTGAGAAAATTTCGCAACATGATAATCTTCCATGGGATGATTTGCTTTCCCTTTAATAAGGCTGAAGCCATACTTGACTGGGCTCTGATGGCTCTTGCCCTTTCCCGAGCTACATGAGGACCGTCCACCAACGACCTAGCATGAATCAGAAAGTTGGGATATAGGAAAGAATTTGAAAAGAGAAATAATAAAAAAATATATCTATCAGAAAGAGAATCCTGAAACAATCTAGTAATCCTTTCATGTTAGCTGTAAGAGTTGAGATATCACTCGCAAGACCTAGGAAGAGATTGTAAAACACGAGGGCTTGGATTAATGAAATTATCTCGCACATCTATATACACCGAAAAGAAAAGGCAAAACAAACAAAAGAAGCAAACTAAAATGTTCAACATCAACAAGAGTAATCTACCAAAGTATGTGACTATTTGTCATAAGAAAATTTCTTAAGATAGAGGCTTTGGTTAATGTTATTATTTGTAATAACCTGCTAACAATTCTGGATCCCAATAATTTGAATCGCACCACCAAAACACTTATTCAGTTTACCAGGAATACCGAATTTTCAGCATTCATTTAGAACAGTCCAACACTTCATTTTCTTGAGCAACGATGCGGGAAAACAAAGAAAACTACTTTACAGCGGTCTTCTAAGAAATTCTGAATATTCATCTTTCCAAATCAAGCTCTTCTACCAGTTACAGTTTTTCAGAAAGCAGATATCAAGAGGAAATTAACACGAGTCCATAGAAATTATGCCAAGGTCATTCTTGAAATTGTCAAATTTCGATCTACGCGTTCTTAAGCGGACTTAATTATAAAGTTACATGAAGTTGAAAAAATCACGCTTACTAATCAACATAAATCCTGGACTACTCAATCAAAACAAGGAAAAGCAGCCTTTCAAAAAAAAAAAAAAAAAAAAAAAAGAAGAGAGGAAAATCAGAAAATAATGCTATAATAATATCTCCTAAATGATATATCAACTATTATAAAGTTATGACAAACAATTGATGAAAAGGGTTGATATATAACCTCACCTGAGAATAAACAGAATTGAAGCAACATAGATTATCCATAAAATTCAACCCGACCTTAAGCCCTCCCAATATTACTCAACATCGACTGTTTCTGCAGACCAAAAAAAAAAAAAAAAAAAAGAAGTTAATCCAACAAAAACCCAGTAAAAGATTAAAAAAAAAGGATATTATACAAACAGCAACATCAAAGCAGGAAATTCTGATCATCCTAAAGAAAATTATCAAAATCCAACATATTAAAAAAACAAAAATAATTACTCAGAATTGGAAAACGGGTATTGAAAGAAAATTCCTTACCGATCCACCAGTCTCCGAATTTTCCAAAGGAACAGAGCTGCAGAGTTAAATTTTCTGGGTTTTTTTTTTTTTTTTTGACTCCCCTCTTAGAGAGAAAGTACCAGAGATAATTATATACAACCACCACCTAGAAACAAAATCTTCTTCGGTTATTATTATTATATATAAATTATAAACTTACAGATAAAAAATCAAACTATAAAGCTAAAAAAACTTAATATTTATTAGATGTATATGGAATGGTTGAAGGGTTTTGTTGGGGTGAGGAAAGGGAAAGGAAGAGAAAGCACGAAGAAGAAGAAGACTTTGAAGGGCAAATAAATGCTGTCAAAAGGCAAGAGCTTGCCCTTATTGACTTTTGCAGTTTTTTTGTGTTTTTTTTTTTTTTTTTTTTTTTGTGAGAGTTATTGTTGTCCGTGTTGTTTCGTTTTGTTTTTATTACTGACACTGTTGTTTTGTTGTGTGTTGATTATTATTACAGCTGTTTTTGAGGTTTATTTCCTTCTCATAGACTTGATCAAATGAATTTTGGGAGAAGCATTGGTTCGGTCGCCTCTTTCTCTTTGGGTTTGTGTGGGGCCAGGCGACCTTGCTGGCTTTTCTTTACAAAGTCAGCCACTTCTCTCGATTTTTTATTTTTATTTTGTTTTATTTTCTTCGTCTTTTTCTTTCTTTTTCTTTGCCTAAGAACCCCGGCATGTCCCCCTCTTTCCTAAGTGCTCGCTTGTTTGTAAGGTTTTCATCGCATACTGTTTTTAAGTTTTGAGTTCATTTCAACTCAAAATTTAAGATTTGATGAAGGAAAAAATTAATGAACTCACTTTTGAATGCGTTGTTTTAATATTTTTATTTTTTATTTTTAATTAATATCTTTTTTATTACTATAGTTATTTAACTAAAGGTATTAATTAAGTGTAAGGATAAAAATCTAAGACACATGCATTTTGTTGTGTGAGAAAATTCAGGTGACACGTGGGATAGCAACAACGTTACACGTGGTCTTACTTCTCCTCACAAAGTAACAACCCTCGACGCCTGAAGCTCACTTCCCCTTTACGCTTCGAAGAAAGCCCGCCTTAGGGCGTCGACCCGTTATGCCGTCGACCCTATGACTTGTGCAAATTTCCTACGCCACAGAAGGATCGGAGGCCAAAAGAGGCCACCGCCCGCTCAGCGTAGACGTCAAGGGAAGAGCATGGGAGGCGACGCCCGTATCTCCAGAAAGGTGTCTGACACAACTAACTTGCGTCTGGCACTGGGAGATGTCTGCAGTGCAGGCATTAATTACAAGCCCCTAAACTGCCCAACAATGAACGGTGGAGTGTTACAAGGAGTCTACAGAGCCGTAATGGAAGACTAATTGGATGAGTGTAAAGTTTAAAAGGTGATTAGTGGGCTACGGTCTGAGCCTATGAGGGTAGGCCACTCGAGTGCTTCTGCCTACGAGAGGAACCGCCCACGAAGGAACCCTTGGCTATAAAAGGGGCAAAGCCCCAAACGAGTAGGGGGGGATTTTTTCCTTTTAGTTTGGCTCAATTCATATTCAACCCGAGAGTAGAAAAGGATAGTTATTGTAAAGAATCCAAAAGAAATATAAAGAAAAGTGGATGTAGCTCTTCATTAATAGAGTGAACCACTATAAACCTTGTGCCTTTATTTTCATACAAGCACAGTCCTCCCATTATATTTACCACGAACTTCATACACGCTTTACTACATTTTCAAGATCAAATAAACGCTTTTTAGCCGGTAACCTGACAGGATACCTAAAGGTGACCCGGCGTAATCTTGTTGACGAAATTTCACCGTCAACAATTGGCGACTCCACTGGGGAACGAACCCAAAATCTCTGGTTGAGCCATTTAACCCCAACCACAAGGAAATAGGCAATGTCTATGCCTCCAAGGAGAAAAGACACTGCCATCAACCAAGGTAGCCAAATGGAGGAAAGCACGGCGCACCCGGCATGTGACGGAGACGGAGAGAACAAACCCTTGGTTCGGAATGAGGCACTGCCCCTGGATATGCCACAGCCCAACCCAGTGCATATGCAGGCCCAGCTTACCACCCTAACCGACGTGGTGCGGGAGCTAATGACCGTAGTCGAGTGATTGGATGGGAGAAACTCGATGCCGCCTCGAGACCACCGGGAGCTGCCATGGTTGGGAACCAAAATCATGGTGACCACCAAGGTGCCCCGGAAGGGATCGGGGATAATGAGAATATTAGAGGTAATCCGAGGCCTCGACCGTCACAATCCCTCGGAACCGTCACAACCCCTCGTCATTCGTCAAAGGGCCGCCAGACACCGAGCCCAAAGGAAAAGGGTAGTAGGCCTGGCCGACCCCGCAGCGCCATCCCAGAACCCAGGTGAGAATCTCCCTGGAGATTCGGGATCGGTGCAAGAGGGCAGCGAGGTAAAGCATGGGCCAAACGCACAGAGGGCGAAAGCCTCAAGGGGCGTCGGCTCTGTAATTTCGACTGAGGAGGCACGGGCCATCATGGAGCGCATGACGAGCCTGGAGCAGAAGTTCACAGGCGATGTTGCTGGTCTCAAAAAGAACATAGGACAGGTGGCAGAGGTGGTTAACGTCGACATCACTCCCAGCTGGACACACGACCATCCATTCACCGCTGAGATTATGGCGCCACCTCTCCCAGACAAATACAGGTCGCCGTCGATCCCACCTTATGACGGCATAGGAGATCCGGACGACCACCTGAAAATGTACACAGAGCACATGCTTCTGCACGGATATGCTGAGGAAATCATGTGCTGAGCTTTTCGAACCATCTGACAGATTCAGCCCGAAGATGGTTCCGTACGCTCAAACCAAACTCCATCTCAAGTTGGGATGAACTAAAGGAGGCCTTCTCCCTCCAGTTCATTGGAGTAAAAAAGTATGTCCCACCAAAGCAGAACTTGACGACGATATATCAAAAGCCAAACAAGTCATTAAAAGAATGGCTCGCAAGGTACGGGGAAGTCGTCACTGCTATGACGGACATAGGGCTGGCAATTCATGTTTGCTTGTCGTGTTCAGGCCGGCACGATTACGGCACGACACGATTATAGTGAACACGAACACGACACGATTAATAAACGTGTCAGAAACCCAAACACGAACACGAAACGCTAATAACACGGTTAACACGACATGACACACGAACACGATTACTAAACGTGCCGTGACGGGCTGACACGAAAAAAACACGTTTATGACCCGTTTATGACCTAACTAGCAAAAATAGTGGAATTTTATATTGTATTCAAAACTATATTAATTGACTACTTAATATAAAATCATGCATAATAACCAACACACATTAAAATATCCAAATATCAAACACACACATATATATATGATACTACTAGATTATCAAGTATATATGTTTCAAAACATACCAATTACCAAACATCCAAAGAAGGTTGAAAACATAGCCAAGTACATTTAAATAAGTTTGAAAACATAACCAAACATTTGAATGTTTAAGTCATAAAACATAAAATAAATATAGAAAAATGTATTCTTTGAGCCTTGAGGTTGAATGCCCAACTACGCTCTAAAAACCAAAATTAGTTTCAAGAGACTGAGTCAGAAGTAGGGTTTTGTCTAATATATATATATATATATATTGTCGGTTAGATAAAGTCTTTGTATTTGAATTTAAATAAAATACAGGATAAATAGTTTATCATTAGAGATAAGGTTTCTTAGGTTATAGTTTATCTTTAATTAGGATAGTTTCTTTTAGGAAGATAAGGTTTCTTCCTTAGCCTATTTATTCTTATTTTTTACTATTATGAAAATAATAGAAGAGAGTTTCTTTCTAGAAAATTTACATATATATATATATATGGGCTTAATAAACAGGTCGGGCCGTGTCAGCCCGTATAACTAAACGAGTTAAGCGTGTTAAATGGGCTGGCATGAATCCAGCTCATTTATTTTCGTGTTATTCGTGCCAGCCCGTTAACGACCTAATTAATAATCGTGCGGTCCATACTCATTTATCTCGTGTCATTTTCGTATCGTTTCGTGTCTGAAATTGCCGGCCCTAAAGGGACATAACTGATAGGGAGGCTCTAATGGGGGCTCTGTCCAGCATGAAGAAAATTACCCCATTCAAGCGGGATCTAAACCATAAGCCACCATCGACTTATAAAGAATACCTGCCGCGAGCGCAAGGATACATCAACGCCGAGGAAGCTGACACCAACGATCTTGACCATCGATCATATAAGAATAAAAATTCAGAGCAAGGGTTGACGCCAGGAAAACAAGACAAGAAACGACGAGGCGGGGGAAACGGAGACAAGCAAACAACCTCGACGTCAAACCCCCCTGAGCCTAAGAAGTCGAGGCAAGAAGAAAGCCGTAAACCTCGATTGTTCCAAAGGTATGACTCTTACCATGAGCTAACAGTAGGAGTCGAGGAAGTATTTAACCAGGTCAGTCGAGGGAACTTGCTGCGCCGACCAGAACCAATGAAGTCGAATCCCAGCCGAAGGAACCAGAATAAATTCTGCAGGTTCCACGGTGACATCGGCTACCATACCAACAATTGCGCCGATCTCAAAAATGAGATTGAAAAGGTAATCCGTGAGGGAAGATTGCAGGAGTTCAAGGCCGAATGAAGGCCAAGAAACGATGGCCACGGCAGTCAAAATGATGATCGACGCCGAGAGGAGCAAAGGCGTCCAGAGGAACGAGAACCCATCGACATAATAAGAACTATCCTCGGCGGTCCATACATTGGAGGAGACTCACGGAGATCTCAAAAAGAGTATGCCCACGAAGCCAGAGGGGTGTACCAGGGGAGATTTTTGAGTGTCTCGACCGCAAAAACAACCAAGTGCAGCAGTGTTGACGTAGCGTTTAATGAGGAGGACGCAAACGGGGTCCACTTTCCCCACAACAATGCCTTGGTGGTAGAGGCTGTGATTAGAAATCATACTGTATGCCGAATCATGGTGGACAACGAGAGCTCAGTGGACCTTTTACACTCTGATTGCCTGGAAAAGATGGGGATCCCCAAGGAATCATTGGAGAGAATCTCCAGGCCATTATATGGGTTCACGGGGAACTCCGTCATCCTTCAGGGGACAATTCGACTGCTAATAACCGCAGGAGAGAGGCCTCAGCAAGCCACAATAATGGCTAATTTTGTGATAATAAAGGGAGGTTCACAGTATAAGGCCGTGATTGGAAGGCCAACCCTTCAGGCGTTGAAGGCAATCACCTCCATTTACCACTAGAAGGTCAAATTCCCCACTCCAAAATGTGTAGGTGAGATGAAGAGCAACCAGTACGAGTCTAGGGTTGCATACTCTGAT